CGGGCAGCTCTCCTCCAGGACGGGGGGGACGGCGAGGCGTGGCCCTTCAGCATGGCCCAAGGAGGAGCCGCCGCACCCCGTTTGTGAGCTCCGCTGCAGGCTGCCCCCCAGCAGTCCCAGCCCTGGTGTAGTGACGGAGACAGGAGCAGGGCCTGAGCAGGGGCTGGAACAGGAATGACCGCGGCTCAGCTCCCACGTCGCCCAGAGGCAGAAACAGCCTCACCTGCAGACAGGGAAGAGGCAGAGTGCGGTGGGAAGGGAGTGTCACTCAGCCACGCGCAGGGCACACGTCGACCCGCGCCACATGTGTGTAAGCCTTCGAGTCACAAGAGCCAGGAACCCAGATTCAAAAGCTGCCGCAGGCCCCCCTCCGTGCGGCTCTGCCTGTGTGGAAGGTCCTCATCAGGCAGAACCCAGAGTCAGGGAGGAGCGGGAGTGACCCTGGCGGGGCCGGAGCCCTGCACCTGCATGACAGTGATGTGGCGTGATGCCGTGAAGGCGCCAGATACCCTGGGTCACGCACGGTGTGGCCAGGGCCAGTGGAATGCGTCTGCGCACTGCCACCCACGCGGGTCCCTTCTCCTTCCAGCCACCACATCAGCCTCAACATGGACCCAGCTGTGACGGCCATCTTGGGCATCTTCCGCTTGGTGACGGGGAAAAGTCCTCTATTTGCAGTTCATGGAGGAAGCAGCAGGGAAAACCTGGCCCTGCAGAATGTGCAGGTGACTCCACTTCTGGGCTGTTGTCCCCAGAGGGGAGTGGGGCACAGGGAGCCCTGGGGACTGCTGGTGCTGGGGTCAGTAGCCTTGTGCCTCGCTGGAGATACTGACCACACAGGCACGAGGACGTGACTGCAGGCTGAGCATGTGCTCATCTAAGAGGGCACAGGGTTATAAGAGTGTGCGTGTATGCACAGGTGTGCACGGATATGCCTGAATATGTTAGGTGTGCATGGGTGTGAGTGTGCATATGTGTGTGTAGCTGTGTGTGGAGTGTACGCACAAGTACATGAACATGTGTGTGCAGTGTGTGTGCCAGAGTAGGAGTCTCTGTGCCTGCATGTGTGAGCACATGGAGGCGTGTGTGTGTGGGCCTGTGTGAGCGTGTGTGTGCATAGGTGGCATGTGCATGCTTGAGAGCTTTCCATGGTGCTTGTGAGTGTGCAGGAGTGTGTAAGCACAAGCATGCTCATAGTTAAGGGTGTGCCGGGAGTGAACATGGGCATGTGTGTGTTACTGTGTGAGCACAAGCATGGCATGATTGTGTAC